CATTTCACCCACCTTGGAAGGATGGAAGGCTGAGTTAACCCTGAGCCGGTGAGATTAGAACCGCTGAACTGCAGATAACAGTCAGCTGAAGTGGCTGCAGTACTGCACCCTAACCACTGCGCCACCTCGGTTCAACAAATCAGCTGAGCTAAAAAACAAGGGAATATAGGATAAGGGACTACAGGGGTAGGAGGGCGGGGCCAACCAGTGGTGGTATTTGCCGGTTCTGTGAACTACTCAAAATTTCCACTACCGGTTCACCTGAACCAGCTGAATACCACCTCTGATGAAGACCACAAGGCTCTTCTACAATGTCAAAGAGAAGACCTGATCTGCCGTTTCTCCTCCCTCTCTCACCAGGGTGCATTTGGCCATCCAGAAGTTGCAAAGGCGGATGCGACAGTGCAGGTACACTTCTTCAGAATCCGCGATGAAGGTGAAAACGCTGAAGGAGAAGCGTCCCAACAGAGATACTCCATCCTCCTCCACCCGGACGGTGCCATCTTGAGGATTGGGACACCTGCAGAGGGGGAGGTAAGATCAGACAGAGGGATGAAAGTGGTTGGAAGGTACGATGAGATCAAAGATCACCTCCCTGTTTACCTGTGGCTCACCTTATCATTTATACAATGCGGCTAATCCTCGACGTACGACCACAATTGAGCCCCAAATTTCAGTTGCTAAGTGAGACATTTGTTAAGTGAATTTTGCCCCCACTTGCAACCTTTCTTGCCCCAGTTCTTAAATGAAGCACTGCAGTCAATAGGTTAGTAACCTGGTTAGACTGTGGGGGACGTTGCAACAGTCATAAGTCTGAGAAATAGTCATGTGACTTTTTCCAGCGCCATTATAGCTCTGAATGGTCACTAAATGAACTGTCGTAAGTCAAGGACTATTTGAATTCAGATTTATATGTCAACCTAATGCCTTTAATAAAGTCTGTTTCTGTATTTGCAACCCAGGACTCATCAAATTCTGATGAATACATTGGCAAGGGCCATCACACCTGTAGAAACCTCCTTCATCACAAAGGACCATCTTGTAACTTGATTACATCTACCTTATGTTTTACATAAACATACCTTATGTTTTACATGAGCCAAGGTGGCGCAGTGGTTAAATGCAGCACTGCAGGCTACTGCTAGATCAGCAGTTCAGCGGTTCAAATCTCACCGGCTCAGGGTTNAGAATTCTTTATTGGCCAAGTGTGATTGGACACTCAATGAATTTCTCTTTGGTGCATATGCTCTCGGTGTACATAAATATACATTAATCAAGAATCATAAGATGTAACCCTTAGTGATAGTCATAGGATACTAATAAGCAATCAAACCGTACTAGGAAACAAATAAAACAATGTAAATTGTAAAGATGCAAGCAACATGGTTATAGCCATAAGTGGGAAGAGATGGGTACTAGGATGAGAAGAAGAATAGTAATACAGTCTTAGTAAATAATTTGACAGTGTTGTAGGCATTAGGTGTTTAGCAGAGTGATGGCATTCGGGGGGTAGAAACTGTCCTTGTTTCTGGTTGCACTCAAAATGCACTCAAGCAGGAAGCCACCTACCGGGATCTAGCAAATTGCTCCTGTACTTCAAGAAAGGACCAGCTGAGATGATGGCTGATGGAGGTTTCCTTCCCAAAATCGCAGAGCCTGGAGAATGGCAGTTCTGCAACAGGGGAAATGAAATGTCATTTATCTTGCTCAAGAGAATTGTGTCAGCCTAATGGACCAGACTAAGAAATCAATGCCATACAGGTAGTCCTCGACTTACAACAGTTCATGCAGTGACTGCTCAAAGTTACAGTGGCCCTGAAAAAAAGGTTTTTTTCCCACTCTTATGCCCATTGCAGCATCCCCATGGTCATATGATTTACATTCAGATGCTTGACAACGGGTTCATATTTATGACGGTTGCAGTGTCCCGGAGGGGGTCATGTGTTCTCCCTTTGGCGACAGGCAAAGTCAATGGGGAAGCCAGATTCACTTAACAACGGTGTTCCTAGTTTAACAACAGCCATGATTCACTTAACAAATGTGGCAAGGAAAGTTGTACAATGGGGCCAAAGTCACTTAGCAAATGTCTCACTCAGCAATGTAAATGTTGGGTTCCATTGTGGTCTCAAAATTAAAAGTGACCTGTATAGGTTAGGACTCCTGCCTCACGTTATGTCCCATGTGAACTAAGGAGGGACTTGGCTAAGTTGTTTTCTATTTCCTTGGTCCAGGTTCAAGCCCCTCTTATCTCACCACCGCCCTGGTAGCAGCCCTTCCTCCTGTCCTTCAGAGCCAGAGAATGGAGCAACTTGCCTTGGCCAACTTGCCTTGGCCAACTCATTGCAGTCAACTTGTTATGGCCAACGTGGTCCATGGCCAACTCACCACTCTTTTGAGCCCATGTTTCTTCACCGCATTCCCCAGCTGAAACCCCACTCAGGAGGTGTTCGCCCTACATCACTGTACTTGTTAAATAAATAATGAAGACCAGTGGTGGGATTCCAAACCTTTTCCCACTAGTTCTATGAGAGTGTGTTACACGCACGACACACTCAAAGATTGCCCTCGGTGTCAGCACTGGTGAACTGAGCTATTTTTCAATAGCAATAGCAATAGCAGTTAGACTTATATACCGCTTCATAGGGCTTTCAGCCCTCTCTAAGCGGTTTACAGAGTCAGCATATCGCCCCNGAAGGAAGGATTTCTCAACCTTAGCAACTTTAAACTGTTGGCTGGGGAATTCTGGGAGTTGCCCACAAATCTTGAAGTTGTCAAAGTTAAGAAACGGTGCCCTAAAACCAACAGTCAGTACTTCTGTGCTATGGTTCAAAAAAAAATGCATGGCCCCTGGGTGTAGGGAGGTCATCTAATGCTCCCGATTGCCAATTTGTTCCCAATCAAACCCCCAGTGCTGTTGTTCCCCCTGACAGCTGCCTAAGACTTACAGAGGATGCCGGAGAAAGTTTCCCTCCACATGGACCTCCCTTGAGTTCGTTTGGGGTGATTCACCTGTGTTTGCTCCTGATTTATCTTGTGGCGATTGGAGGCCAATTTTTTTTCCTCCAACCCTTCATTCTTTCCAGACCTTCCTCTTATCCTGTTGCTCCTCGAAATCTGCAACAATCCTGCATCTAATTTTGATCTTATACCGTAATGGCTAAAAAATGTCAATCGTTGGCCATGTGCGTAGTGTAACAAATAAATGATTGTGTTGTTTTTTCATCCCAGATTTCTCTTTTTCGTTGCCTCTATCTTGCACTGTCTACTGCAGCATTGGGGGGGGGGGGATTAATGTCAGATTATACCAGATTCCCATTTTGGGGGTGGGAAGCCACTCTAGACGATCTCCTGCTAGGTGTGACCAGGGACATGACAGTGGGAGATGTGCTCAGTCCCTCATTCAGGGGACACCAACCATCAGGTCACCTCCGTCCTATCCTTGCCCAAACAGTGAGCAACTGTCTAAAACAGGGATGTCAAACTCAAGGCATCAAGGCTGTATCCAGCCCACGGGGTGTTTAGATCTGGCCTGTGGGGCTGCTCTGGAAACAGTGGACCAGCCCCCGGTGCCTCTGCCAGCGAAAACGGGCTCCCAATCTCCGTTTTTGGCTGGAATGGCCTCCTGCAACCCTTTGCCAGCGAAAATGGAGCTCAGTAGGGAGGGAGGGAGGGAATCGCTCCTGGGGGAAGGATACTGCAAAATCCCCATTCCCACCCTACTGTGGGGCCAACCAGAGGTGGTATTTGTCGGTTCTCCGAACTACTCAGAATTTCCGCTACCGGTTCTCCAGAACCTGATGAATTTCACCCCTGCCTCTCTCTCTTCTAGGAGAGGAATCCCGTGGGCCGGCCCCGGCTTCTGTTCTTTCTCTCCGGCTTGCCAAGAAACCCCAGTGCCAACCTTTGGACGTGCAACTCCCTGCTGGCTGTGGATCAGGGAGCCAAGAAGACATTGGAGACAGCATACTGCCCTCTAGTGGATCACGGCCATGCTGCTCAGTGGGCAAAGCTGGCCAAAGAAGCCCCATGCATCTTTTCGATCGAGTGTCTCCATCATGGAATCTATAAACCCCCGAGGCTTGGCTGCCTGCCCCCCCCCCCAAAGCCCCACAACTTGTCTCTGCTACACTGCTCCCCGCCCCCCGCCAGGGACACCAAAGGCGGCAATGCTTGGGACTCAGGCAGCTGGTCAATCCTCTAAGCCAGTGTTTCTCAACCTTGGCAACTTGAAGATGTCCGGACTTCAACTCCCAGAATTCCCCAGCCAGCATTCGCTGGCTGGGGAATTCTG